CTTTAAAGGGAAGTCAGTTGGGGTGTGACAGATTCTCAAAGTACAGAAAAAGCAGGTGTGTTTTATAAATTGGAGTGGATGGAAAAACAAAGTAAAGCGAAATCTATTCAATTCAATTAATTTCATTGGGAAACTTATTATAAGGTTCTGTTTTGATTTTATATCCACTAAGAATCTGTGTTCAGTTTTTACTACGGTTTTTCTGGGTTCAATATGAAGATTTTCAAAATGAAAAAAAGCATTTATGCATCAATCTATGTACAATTTCCCTATCGAACAGCCTGTTTACCATAGAGGCCTGAAGTGGTGATCATCCTCCCAACACTTGGGATCTATATAACCATCGAAACGGAGACCCTCGACAGGAAGTTAAGAAAAATAATCTTTTGTTTGCAGAAGCAAACTGGGCTTGTGTTCATAAATATAATTTATGTGAGACAAAAATGAATATTCCAAAGTATGTTCAATTAAATGAAGGCTTCATTTAGGGAAACTTTGTTTTTGCATTTTCTATTAAAGGCTACATTCCCAACTAATTTCTATCGTACTTTCTCAAAAGCAATTGTTCTATGGCAAAATTTCAGAAAATTTTAGAAAAACTGTGAAAAATTATAACCCGCATGGGCACTGCTTTTAATTGGGCATTTTTCTACCAAATAAGAAGTTAGAAACCCGTGCCATTCAAAACCTGAAATATTTTCTAGTGGAAATTAACCCCACTTTTCAGCACCTTACAATGGCTAAGTTGAAGAATGCAAATAAGAGGAAATAATTTCAAATTTTTTTGAAAAGTTTTTTAGAACTTTCCTTTAGGGCCAAAATTAGTTAATAAATGCCAAACCATGGTCAAGATTGTGTAATTAGAAACTGTCCCAAGCCTCCAGTGTTCCAAAATAATGTTAATAGTCGTCATGGGGATGAATATTGAAGAGAGAATGAGAAAAGAGAAAAGTACATCCACGCACCTTTAGCCTCAATGCCCGTAACGGCTAAAACATAAAAGAACCATCAGACCCTCAAATCTACAACTTCCAATTTCTTTCTACAGAGGTTTCCAAAGCACAAACCATTTAGTGCAATCTTGTATATCATTTGAACATCCCTCTCTTTTCTTTCATTGGTTTGCCTTAACTTTGTTTATTGACTCTATTCCTACAAGGAAAACCTTCATAACCCTAGGTGGAAGACGCAAAAATGAATCTTCTTCCCAATCCTAATACTTGCGATTGATTACACCTTTAGCAGTTACCCATTTATGGCTAATGAATGTTTACAGTTAAGTTCCAATTTTAATGGCTCTATTAATCATTGTAAGGATTGAATAGCAATAAATGGCCATCTTCAGAACCATAACATTAAATAATTCAAAAAAATTTCACCAAATGTTGCTCAGAAAACTTAAATTTCAATAAAGTTTGGATAATTCTCAAATTAACCCATATAAGCTGAGTCACGAGCAAAAATTTTGGCTAGATCCAATTCATGAAATAAGCTTAAATAAAACTGAGCCAATTTGAGATCGACTTGGAATATAAATGTTTACATAATTTTAATATTTTATACATAAATGTGTATGTCATATAAATACGAAAAATATGTGTTCATACATAAATAATAAATTATAAGTGATTCAAATTTGAGGCAACTCAAAATGGAGTAAATTCAACCTAAGGTATTGAAATTGAATCGGTTTGATTCATAAACCAATTTTGAGTTACCCTGTAATGTTCATTCTGATTTAAATTCAGAATTCAAAATCAGATAATTATTGTCCTAGTTTCCAGACTGAATTTGATTGGCCTTCTTTCTAAATCCAATGATCAAAATTGGCTCACGACAAAATGGATGCCTTCTCTGTATCATTAGTAAAATTATTTGTAGAAACAACCCTAAATGCATGTTGCTAAAAGAAATATGCAAATTTCAGAAAGCTATATATGGCTTGAAAAGAAACCCTTGTGTCTAATTCGACAAAAGTTGCAAGGTTTGTGTAGATGTTGGACTACGAAGTAGCATTTCTAATCATCCTAACTTTATTCAACATTCTACCATTGGCATTATCATTATTTATGCGTATGATGATGGCATTCTACAAAGTATGAACGATAATTTAAACATTAATGAAATAAGATAGTATATGCATAAGAAGTGAGACTTTCAAAATACATTCTTAACAAAACTTTAAATATATTAAAAAAGATATTTATCTTTTCAAATAAATATGCTACAAAACCTTCTTGAAGCAAGCAGTTTTTGGATGCAAGCTTTCTGACTCACCCATCAAAAATCTACAATCATTTGAGGATGATGAAAACTACGAAGATTAATTTTGTTATCATTATCTAGTTGGCAAACTTTGCTATCTGATTATCAGTTGACTGAATATATATTTCAATTTTCATACAATTAGTTTGCAAACGCAAAACCCAAAATTAAACATCTGGATTATGTCCTATAGATTCTAAGATATGTTAGGAGATCACGCAATTAAAGTGTTGTTTATAAAAAAATAATGCCATTTAAAAAGTATAGTTTTTTTTATTTTTTATTTTTTAAATTTATTTATTTATTTATTATGTTGACAATGTTGGATTTATTGAGAATTGTTTACTTCAAGATACTGTCATTGTTGGTAGATACTGGTCCTGAAAAAAAGTAGCAATTTTTTTTAGCTCAGTCCAGCGTTGAGGCTAAATACATGGACAAGTTTTGATTTGCTTGCAAAATGATATTAGATGAAAACAGTAATGAAATAATTTGGTTTCCCTATTACACAATCAATTGATCCTAAACTTTTACAATCAAACAGTTATCTAAAATACAAGCAAACCAATCCTCCATGAAAGAACCAAATACATTATGAAGTAAATTATCACTTAATCAAGGATATAATATTCTAATATAAAATATTTCATGCTAAGAAGTAACAACAAACAACTAAAAATCACGAAATGAATAGTTTCTTATGTGCATATATACAAGCTCCAATAGCATAGCGTAAATTATGATTAGACATTAAATATCAGTGATTATGTGCCATGCATTAGCCTAGTACATGCTTATGACTTCAAACCTTATATTTAATAAATGATTAACATATAAAGTTATTTCCTTTTCTTGAAAATTTGAATTCTATATTAGAATTATTCATCTGCGAGCTTTATATCTCACCAGATATTATTCTAACTATTGTTTTAGGTAGAGATAAATATAAGGTTGAGCCAAAATGAGTCTTAGTATTTTAACCAATTACTTGATGTCGATTTGTATGATCCTTGTTTAAAAACGTGTTCAAGGATCAGCACAAGAAGAGATGTGCCTCGAACTGAGGGGCACAAAAAATGCTTAGAGGTGAGTGCGGCTTAACACATTTTTTGTCTAAGATGAACTCAGAGGCATTTGAGGTAGCACCTTAATCAGATTATATAAAAAATTATATTATAACATCAGTATATGTTATATTATATTATATTATATTATGTTATGCACATATCTAATATTTAAGATACAATGCCTCATAAAAATCAAACAATTAATTAAATATTACTTGATTATGTTGTTAATTTGTCATTTTATTTTGAATTACATTACATTTAAAATTAGCTGATATAAGGAATAAGAAAAAAAAATGTAGCAATTAAATATAGTTTGAAAGATGACAATAACACAAAATTTGATGATAATAAAATTATTGCATGTGATGTTTTTTTGATAGATGATAATCATGAGAATGAAGTCATTATGGATCTTGATCCTCATATTATTTTTAAATTTTAAATGAATATTTATTTTAAATCTCATTTTAAACTTTCATTTCATATCAATATTTAAAAGGGGCATTTACATGTAGGACCCAACTCTTATGTATTTACATATCAAACACATAAATTTAACATTTTACATTTATACCACCCAAATCTTTCATTGCACATAAAAATAGATACAACTATTTAAAACTTTTAAAAATTAAAATATACCTTTTCATGCACACACAAGGCATTTATGTAACAATTGGAGTTTAGGAGGTAGATATGTAAATACACACGAATTGAGTGGTATGCATGTAAATCTTCCTATTTAAAATTATGATTATGGTTCATGTTTTTTAATAAATAAATGAAGTCAATCTATCAATTATTTATATCATATTCATGAATTATTTTTCTAATTTTTTAGGGCTTACGCCTCGACTCATTAAAACAAATGCCACAGTTCATGATTTTTTTTTAGTCTTATCTATGATAAGAAGCATGATAAGGTATTGTATTAGATGAAAGTTTATTATTATGTTTCTTATAAGCTTTGCAATTGATTGAATGAAATATTTTAGAATATTTCTATTTAATTAATTGATCTTCATAAGCTAAGAATTGCATTGAATTATATTAAGATCACTTAAAATGATTGAATTAATCACTAACTCTATCATGGGGGGTAAAATTTCAAAATAGTGGTTGGTTATGGATTCAATCAACAACGTCCTTTGATAATGTCCACCTCTGTCACGCCTTATATTTGACCAAAAAAAGGCTATCCTGAAGAGAGAACTTTTCGTCCTTAGCAAATTATTATGTAATTCAACAAGTTCAATATTTATAATGCAAAAACTAATCATGTGTTAAAAGATTGTTATGTTGGTAGTGATTCCACTAAAGAAACCAGTCCTTATGGTTAGTTTGAATCTAAGGAAAATAAATCAGTCATCCTCAGCTACTAATTTTTTTCAAAGTTAATGTTTGGTTTCCATCCTTAACTATTGGTCAACATCACACAATGTTCTGCATTTTCTTTTCCATGTTTCCCATTTTAAGTATCATGAAACCGTTAAACCTCTTTGATAGTAAATTCTAATCACCGCAAACATCACAACTTCAGATGTAAAAAATAAAAGAAAGCTAAATTTTCGTTGCATTAAGAAAGGAAAGAAAAATAAAACTACTCAGGCAGATACCCAAAGCAAGGAGTTTGCAGGCAGTAGCCTACTTCAAAATTCATCTTACTTGAGAAATGGGATGCACATAGACCAGCTGGCCTGTCCGTCCAACCATAACCTAGAAAGAAAAAGCCCATTGTAACAAATGTTCATGTTTATGAGTTCATATTTTGATTTGCTAAAATTTAATACGCATAAAAAAATATAAGATAAATTTACCGGCTGAGTGTTCTGATGCATATATGCAGTGCCCGTCTGAATAGTCGGATGATATTGCCCAATATATCTGGTTGCTTGTTGTCGCACATTGAGTTGTCCGGGTATCTATCAACACGGAAGAATAAGGTAAGTAAATACAGAAAACAGGGAAGCTGCTTAACGGGGCATGCTTTTATAGGAATCCTAACATCAGGCATTAATTAATGATTTATATAAACTACATGCAGTCCAGCATCATGAATCTCAACATCCAGAAGATTGAGAGTGTAAGGAATTAAGGCGCTGTTTGGTTCGGCTTCTGCTGCGCGGCGCGGCGTGCGACCGCGGCTTCGTCCCGCATTCCGGTGTTTGGTTCGGCGTTTCGCGGCAAATTGTTGGCTAAGCGGATCGATCCGCGGCCGCGGTATTAGGCCGCGGGC